GAAACAGCCGGCGTTGTGAAACAACCCCAGCCTTGTGTCAGGATGGACACCTCGGGCCGTGCACACAACGTGAAGCTGAGAAATTACTGAATTCTCTGACTTCAGCTGGAGCTGGCTGAACCGCGGCACCGTTTGCACAGGGTTTGCGATCATCACACCCCAGGACCTTTCCCTGCCCCGGCTGGGTTCCCGTGATGTGGCTCAGCCGTGTCACCTCCTTGATGACCCCCACGTGTGTCCTGCAGCTTTATGAGCCGTTATTGTCTCTGATGGGCTTGCAGTTGTCTTGAAAGTGTGTGCCGGAGGCTCCCGGTGGGGAGTTTTACTGCCTGAATCATAGGGCTGGGACAGCCTCATCTCGCTCCACTCTCTGCTCCATTAACAAGTAATCACTTTCTCACCAGCCAGCATTCAGGTTGTGTTTTGTTCTCATCTCGTTTTCTTTAAGTGAGCTTTGAACTGTGCCACGCAGTGCTAAGAATCACAAAGGAAGGGAATAAAACCAACTCAAAACTCACCAAACCCATTCCTGCTTTGGTAAAACAAAACAAAACAAAAAAGCCACTCCTGGTTTGGGAAAAACAGCCCTTGGCCAAGGCCAGATGGACACCAATGCCTCCGTGTGATGGGAAAGCCCAGAACTGCAGTGAGAGCTGCTCTGTACAACACAAGCTGCAGAGCCTGGAGCAAAGTCTGGGCTCTGGTGGGGTTTTGCCTTTCATGCTCACAGTGCTCAGTATCCAAGTATGAATGTTGACACTTGCACAGGTGAGCAGGCAGCCAGCCCCATATCTTCTGGACTTGCAAGCCCAGCAGCTAATCCCAGCCTTGGTTTCTTCTGCACTTCAGCTCAGGGAGCCCAGCAGCACTAAGACTGTGACATTTCAGCCCTGCTGGACCAGGGTGAGCATCCTTCCCATCCTTCCCAATGTTAGACCTCTATAAACATGTCAGAGGCACTAAGACTGCAAGGATCGATTCCCTTCACAGGATCAACAAAGCAATTTGCTGTCTAGGTCTTGTTCTGTTGTGAATAATAAGCAGTCACGGAAGCACGGCCTTTCTAACACCTTTTTGCACTTGAAATTTGGAAACCATCTGGGACTGTTAGTCATTAAAAGCAGGGAGCAGAAGAATGCATGTGGGGGGAAGGAGGGAGGGAAATTCCAGCCACTGATCATCAGCCTTGTCTTCTCAAACCTAATCCATAAAGGGCTCTTCAAGTTCTCGAGTGCTGCAGATGGAGTGGAGCTGCCACTGGGGAGCAGGAAGAGGGCAGTGCTGGCTCTGCTGCCAGGTTAGAAAGCACAGGTCAGTGTGTGAGCCCAGTGATGGAAATGCAAGACCTGTGTCCTCTGTAAGCAAATGCACATCCTCACCGAGTGCCATCAGCAGCAAGTCGTGCAGAAGGCATCTCTTGCCTGGTGCACCCAACACTTTGCAGATCCCCTCCTCACGGGGTGCAGCTGGAGCTCCGTGGCAAGGCTGACTGCCAGAGCCCAGCATGAAGGCTGTGCCTGGGGATCTGCTCTAAGCTCAGGTGTGAAACCAACCTGTGTGATCACAAGGTCAATGTGGTTAACCCAAAACTCAGAGAAGCAGCACAAGGGAAGGCTCACTTGACAAAATGTGCACGTTCCCAGGGCCAGCCCGATGCTGAAAGCCACACACAACACACTCAGCTCTCTTTGACAGAGGTGTTTTGTCCCTTTTGCTCCCTCGAGTGTTCTCAGCATACCAACATCAGTCCATTAACATTGAACCCAGCCCTCCTTCCCCTTAGCAACAGCATCAATATTTATGATGTGTAGCTAATGCAGTCTACTTCTATGATTTCTAGGATTTCAGGTGGGAATTCTTTGTACAAAAGACCTCTATTACCTTTCAATATAGGATGCTGATGTTCACCTGCAAAACAGGCCTTATGGATCTGTGACCTTCCTTTTACAAGCTATTTCATGCTAAAGGGACCTTGCCTGCAGCTGCTTCTCCATCACAGATAATCTAATTGGGAATAGAAATACAAGAATCCCACTAGTACTAATTGTTCTGCTTAAGCAGGTTTCTGTGAGTGTCTGAAAAGGATCAAGCTTATTGATTAATGAACCAATAACCAATATTCAGGCTTTGGTGCAGGCTCTGCAGCTGTGTGCTTGAGTCACTCTGCAGCTTTTTGTCACAACGAATGGTGAGCAAGTCAAAGGGATTGGCTTCATGAACCTGATTCTGAGGACTGAGGGTGCTGTGTGAAGGACAGTGAAGCATCCCAGGTCATGACAAAGAGCTCAGAGGTAGAACAGTAGTGAAGGAGGGAGAGCTGATGTTGTGGATTTGGTCTTCAGCTATTGAGTAGAGCCAGCACCAAGGGGCTGATGACTGGGAGGTGAGAAACTCAACACTAAGGGCAGCCCAAGGGCAGGACACCCCTATGTCATGGAAAGATGCTATGGATTACAAGGGAGTAAACATCTGAAGACCTTCTGTGTGCATCCTGGGTCCTTCCCTCTGCCCCACATATTGCATAGCAGCTCTGTGCCGCTGCACTTTCATAAGTTCTGCCTCAATTCAGGCAGGACTTCAATATTTAAAAAGGACATTCATGACTGTTGGCAGCGAAGCCTTTCTGCAGGGGGAATCTGTTTCAGCTCCCCGCCTGGTTAAGGAGGGCTGGAGGAAGTTTGTGCTTTTCTCTCCCTCTCTTTATGCATTTATCATACAGATATATGCTATTCAGCAGGAGTGGTGTTTTCAACTCAAGCAAAAACTCTGCTGAGCATTGATGGAATCTCATGTGCTTTAGTTCTGTTTAGACTTAAAGAAGGAAGCTTAACACTTAGTATGAACCTGAACAGTTGCCATGCCTCCCTCTCTCCCTCCTGGCATTAACTCTCTGTGCTTTCACCTGGGCCTTCCATGTCATCCCTTGTGTTAGCTGCATTCTCCAGACCCTTTAATTCCCACAAATTACCAAGAGGGGTCACTTCAGGACTGGCTTGTGCCAGACACAGGGAACCCAGTTGGACATTTCTCCTCTAAAGGCACGTCTACTGGAAGGCAGTAGGAACAAGGCGGTGGTTCTCTGAGTGATGGCCCAAACAGTGAGAAATCCTCAGGCTCCCAGCTCCAGGACTTGATATTTCCACCAGAGCACAGCCTTCAGACTCAAAACTTCTCATTGCTCCAGAATAAACGCTCTTCTTTTCCATGTAGGGCATCTAGCAGCCAAAGCCCAGAATGCCAGTTGATAAAACCAGTTGACTGATGATTATCTTTCCTCTCCTTTAATTAAAACCATGGCATTTACAAATCAAAAATATCCACACTGGGATTTTCTCCTGCCCTGGTATTTTAAATAATAATTGTTAATTATTAATTATTCATGATTAATGAATGTTTTGCACATCTAAATGTCTTCCTTCCAGACAAACCTGTAAAATAGTTTGCTATAAATGTAAGAAATCTGCTAGGTAACAGCAAAAGTTTTAGGCCTTCTGGGACTGCAGTGGAAATGCAGGAGATCTTTAATATATGGCAAATCCCTGTGAAGGGACCCTCTGAGAGCTAATGGATTTGCTCTTAGGGTGCACTTGGTTATGTCTGCCTATCCTAGCAAGGAGAGGATGCCCACTTTGTCCCTGTTGGATGCAACAGGCAACACGGATCACCCCCCAGTGACAAAATTGGGCACAAGGCATTCTTGGTAGCTGTGCAGGTTGTGATAGGGAAGGTGGGTGGATGGATGGATGGATGGATGGATGGATGGATGGATGGATGGATGGATGGATGGATGGATGGATGGAGGGAGGGATGGATGGAGGGATGGATGGATGGAGGGATGGATGGATGGATGGATGGATGGATGGAGGGATGGATGGATGGATGGAGGGATGGATGGACGGATGGACGGATGGTGCACAGCAGTAGAAAACGTCAACTGTAGAGCTTGAGACCAACACGTCCAAATTGAAAGCTTAAAGCTCATCTCTAAAATACTCATCCCAGCTGAAGGATTCAGCTGGAGTTCAAGAGTGCTGAGCATGGATCAGTGCTCTTGGCTTCTTTCTGCAATGGGAACTGCAGAAGAGAGGTTTGGAGACAGCCACCACTGCCTGTCAGCTCCTGGGGCTCTATGGACCACTGTACTTTGCCAGTACAGCAGTTTCTTCTAGGTCACCTCTTGAAGGATTCACAGCCAAGTTTCAAGTTTGCCAAATGTTTGTGCAAACTCAGTAGAAAACCACAGTCCAGATTCATTGGAGCTCGAGACGTTCACCTTTATGGCAACACAGTGCCTTGAACAAAGCGGCTGTAAGATGACACAGTGCTGCATGGAAGGGATGTTCTTCCATTCTTCCAGCCCAACAGAGTGGGTGTGAGACATTCTTGTGGGTGATGTGGTTTCCCTTGCTGTGGTTCACTTTCTGTGGGATTTCTCACCTACATTTTTGAGTGATAGCAAGACGTTTCAGTTCTGCAAACTCCTCTGTCTGCTCCTTTCTCCCAGCCAGCCAAGCGTGCTGGTGGCAGAAATTGGTGTTCTGCTGCAATCTAGTGGTGGAACAGGCTCATGAAATTGGATTCAGGCTAAAGATGGGCTCCCAGGCAGGTTGTCCCAATTCTGGCAGGTACTTCTGCAGGAATACTTGCTCATATGTGCTCTGTACCAACGATTCCAAAACAGATGAGACAAACCAAAAGCAATGAATGTTATTCTTCATGATAAACAATAGAGCATGGATGTGGCTTGAAATACTTGTAGAAAGGTGTTTCAGAAAGTACAATCTTTTAAAATTGCCCCCTTGGAGTGTGTTGGAAACCATCTTAGGCTTTATGGCAGGGCAACATGACTGAAGTCTTGCATAAAAGGCAGCTGGCTCATGTTAGCAATCAAAGCAGTGTAAGCACAGGCAAGCTGGCCTATTATTTTCCAGCTGAGCAGAGTCATACTAATAAATGAGGGAAACAGGAGGGATGCTCTTCTAGTTTGCAAAACGCTTTTGGGATGTGATGTTGCTGAGAGAGAGCTGTGGGCAAAGCTGCCCTGCCTGCCTGGCCCCAAAAGGCAACGCTGCTGGAGGAGAGGGAGGGAAGGATGCTGCCTTTTGTGTCTGTGATCTCAAAGCCTGTCTGGAAAGAGCAGTGTCAGAGCAAAACTTTGTTGATGTTGAACTGCTTAATGTTTCACAGTAAGGCAGTGTTGAATGCAGAAGCCTCTGAGGATGCCTGGAGCTGTGCAACAGAGACGCTTTGTTGGCCTGGATGGCTGCATACCTGCCATGGTTTGTAGCAGGCTTTGCTCTCAGCTGTGTCATCTCTACCCCTTTCTAGGCCATTAACACCTTGCCTCTTCAGCCAGCATCCCGCTGAGGTTTGCCCTGGGCTGCAAACTCTGCAGATCCTCGTTTCTACAATCGTGCAAAAAGGTTTTGTTCCAAAGCTAAAAGTAGAAGGCAATATTTCCCTAGAATGAGGGCCAGAGCGTGGCTGGCTGACACCAGTAAGTTATCTCCAGGGAATGCAGAGCACTTGCTTAAGTCCTGATGACATGCAAGCTGCCCTGGGGCAGGCAAAGCAGGCAATGCTTGGGAATTAAAACCATCCTTTCCAACAGCTGTGCTCTTTGTTACCAACATGAGCATAAGAGGAGCCGTGGGAGGGAGCTGAAGATTCACCAGAGGAGCACATCTGCTGTTCAGTACGTATGGCACGCTGCAACAACCAAACCCAGCCGGTTCTGGAGGTCTAGCTCAGGTTTGCTGTTTCTCTTCTTTACTGGAGCCACTAAACTCGCCCTGCTGCAATTCTTTTCCTTCTCTATGTGTGTCACAGGCACAGAAAACAGAAAGCTTCACGCCCGGTGCCAGGAGGCTCATCTTTTTTAATGAGCTTTTGCAAGGAAACGAAGTAGCTGCTCTCTCCGTTCTTCTTGCCATCTGCAGAACATCCCAGGGCGCTCGCAGGATGAGGTTTGCAGGAGGGCGTTGGGCGAGATTTACAGCAGCCTCCTGACAGAGGCACTACGGCTGCGTTCTGTGGATGCTAAAAATAATCGCCCTGAACTGGAAAACGCCGTTGTGCTGAGAGCAGCAGATGGCAGCACAGCATAACGAATAGCAGCGCCTCGGAGGAAGGTCTCCAGCCCGGCTGGGTACCTTGGCACGTCCACCGATCCTTGCCTTAGAGATGCTTTGCGAGCTACAAGTGGATTTATTCGTGGTTTTCTCCCCTCTGGGTTGGCTGCATCTGCACGGTGATTTATGTCCTAGGGGGCAGGAGGAGCCGCTGTCCCATTAAAACGAAGTGCCTGGGATGCACATCCATCACCAGCTCTTCCTGAAAGGCTGGGTGTCGTAGCAGGGTGCACACAGATCCATCTCTCCAAGCACAGATGCTTTAAGGCTGATCAATGCTTTCCTTCAGAGAAATTGGTTGGAGGAGAGGAACTCATCTAATTTCTCCACATTTCTCATCCCTAGCTAAACCTGTTAATTCGATTGCAGAGGGTCTCTAGGGATGAGGAAAGGGAGAGACCCTCTAAGAGCTCTGGAATGAGAGCAAATGCACAGAGTGGATCTGGCAAGGAATCAGAGGAGAGGAGGAAATGTGCCCTTCGTGTTGCTGCCTCCCATGGTCAGCTCTGCCCTGCAGGGAGGTCTGGCTCAATAACCACTGCACATATGTATGTCTCTGTTGGTATGGGATGTTCTCCTCATTCACGGGCCAAGGTTCATGCTAGCTTTAATTGTTAGCTGCCACAACAGCCTTGTATGTGCAGGATACAACTTCCATTGGGCTTATCTCAAGTTGCCGTCAGCTTGCAATGTTCTATCTTGAACATTTTGATTCTTGCTGCACCAAAATGGGTTATTCCTCAACAGAAACGCATTTTAAGAGGCCATTTTTAGTTTTGTTTCCAATGCACACGCACTCAGACTCCAAGGCTTTTGTCAGAGCTCAGCTCACCATGTCTTCCAGTGCATCTCTCTGAAGTGGCCACAGAGAAGAGCAGACAACTTCTTGTTCTTATCACAAATGGAGCAATGCTGCATGCTGCAGTTCAGTGTTTGTAATGGAGTCAGGCAGTGTTTTCTTCCAGCAAGGACTCCTTACAAATCCTCTACAAAGAGACTTCCAAAAGCAAGAAGGGATATTTAGGTTCCTTCATGGAGCCTTCAGTTCCTTCACGTTGGCTGCTTTTCAACCAACACCACTGACAGAATGGGACAGGTGCTTGTAAAAACAAGTACACTTTGCAGGACACTGAGCAGCCCTTCTGAGGTACAACATGCCCTCAAATTCCTCTGGAGTTAACAGTAATCAGCATTTTGGAGAAGCACTCAGCTCGGTTGGAGGTGACTCTTGAAGAATGACTTTAAGTCCTCCTGCCCTAAACAGAGCTGCACAATGGAAGCCCTGCAGAAATAGCACAGCATGTTGAAATCTGATGTTTCCAAAGGTGCTGAGCAGCTCTGTGATAAAGGAGGTAAGCCTGAATCTCAGTGATGTTGTTAGCAAAACATCCCCACCTTACAAGCCCTCTTTCCTTGGCACTGGTAGTGACCTCTCCTTGCTCTATGGTTTGACTTTGCCTCCCTTTCCACCAACAGCTGTGCTGAGCAGACCCAGCTATTCCTCATGGATTAATCTTGATTTGTATCAGCTGGGCCACTGCTCTCCTGCAGCCCCTGCTCTCTGCTTTTGTATAACTGCATCTAGCACTCATTAGAGAAACTGCTGTGCACAGCTCATTTTCCAGATCCCCTGATGAAGGTCCATCCACCCTTCAGAGGCCCTGCAGACCCCATGGGATGCACACACATCATCTGAGTGCATGATTTCTTCACTGACATTGATGGGATGGCAAGTAGATCTTTTGGGCAAACTTTTTCACAGCAGACTCCATGAAGGGATGCTCGATGTGCATCATCCAGCAATGCCTAATCAATAAGGACGAATGTTCCTGCAGGATGGATGCATCTACGTTGAAATTTCACAACCTCAGCAGTTATTTGTCAGGCAACAAAGTGTACGGCGAGGGAAGTGGCAGGTCCCACTGTGAGTGCATCCTCGATGGGGGAAGATTTTAATTAACTTGACATTTCTGATAACCAAATGACTGAAGAGATGGCTGTGCTGATAGCAGGAGCCTCTGCTGGGGCACACGGAAGGAAAGTGCCTGAATGCAGATTGCCACCAGCTGACGCCTCGCTCGGTGCCAAGCTGCGATGCTCCTGAGCTTCGTCACCCCGTGCGGGACAGGGAAGGACGCATCTGAGTGACTCCTCGTGCTCGGAAATCTTTCTCCTTCCCTGAAAACTCGGAGGTGAGCTTCAGAACCTGAACCCTATCGGGTAAACCCTCTTCGTGTTTGTGGGGAAATCTGGGGGCTGAGCATCAGCGAGGGCTGCAGGTGCTAATTAGCGGCAGCGTTAATAAATCCCTCCCCTGCCCTTCCTTCTCCTCCCTCTCTTCCTGCCTCCTCCTCCTCGGGGGCGCGCTCTCCCGCCCGGGAGCGCGCAGTGCGGCGCGGCGATCCCCGGCTGCGGCGATCCCGGCGCTCCGGTGTGGGTAAGCGGGGCCGGGGCGGGGGGGGGGGGGGGGGGGTATGAGGATGGGCTCGGTGCCCCCGGGCACAGCCGGAGCTTTGGGACTGTTTTACTCCCTAAACCCCCCCACAGATCTGGGATCTGCCTGCTGGGTTCCCCCTTTCTTAAATTTTTTTTTTCCCTCTCTCGGAAATGGGCCAGAACTGCAATGGGGGGTGGGGGGGTTGCTGCGTGCGGGGCTCGGGCATGTGATGGGGTTTTTGTTCTTACGTCATGACATCGCGTCTGTGTGAGCGATAACACACTGATGTGTCAACCCAGGGGGCAGGGTAAGGAGCATGGTGTGACAGGGCACTTTTCAGCCCCAAATCTCCAGGGAGGAGCTTCTCCCTGTCCCCCTTTCCCCCTATTTTCAGGGCTGCAATCGCGTCTTCCTTCTCCAACACCCGAGGCCGGTGAAACCCCTCCTCTGGCCTTATCTGGGAGGCCTCTCCGGCAGCACCTGGGCTGTGATGCTGCAGTAGCAGCGCTGGTGATGCTGTGCTGTGGATCCGCATGCTCTGGCTGAGCCTGCAGAAGGGCTCGCTGCTATCGATCAGGCTTCTGGAGGTGGGGAAAGTGCTGAATCATTTGTACTCCGGCTGTACGGGCGGTTCAGCTGTTCTCCATCTCAGGGAAATACTCAGAAATGATCTGCAGAGGCTGAAGAAAACTCTGTTGTGTTTTTTCTGTGGCCGAGGTGGGAGTCCCGTGGGCCTGAAAGAGAGGTACTGTCTGCACTGAGCACAGGGTGATATCCTCTAACGTGGCCTCAGCTGCTCCTTAGGCAGCAGAGCACAGGGAGAATGCATGCTTACATCTTGCTGTGGCCTCCAATTGGGGCCTGGGGGGAGTTATGTGGGTTAAAGGGGGGGTTGGAGGGAGGTTTTTTCTCTCCTGTCCCTTTTGGAACTGGGGAGGGCACGTGAGCCTTGCTGCCCGGGTTTGTTTCTCTTTCTTCTTTTGAATGCTGTCTTTGAGGTGGTTTTCAAGGTCGGATCCTCGGAATAGCATGTGGGCTATTGAGCATTTGTGAAATTCAGGCGGGGATGTTTGTCTGCTTTTTGAGAGGCAGCACGGAATGCCGGAGGGATGCACATAATGCAGAAAAAACCCAGCAATATTGAAATCCAGCCCAGACGCCCGACTGGTTTAAGATGGATGCTGTGGCCGTGTCAGCGTTTCCAGGGTGCTCATGTCAGACGCTCAGGACAAAAAGAAGAATCTGGTGACTTTTATCCAGATGCTGACTCTTTTCTTGGTGCTTGTGTATCTGTAAAATGCCCATCCTTCGGCTAAAATGGTTGTCAGCATGACTGCTTTGTTTCCAGACAACTTCTATGCCTGGCCTATCCTGAAAGATAACTGCCCAAATTCAGCATCCGCCTTCTTTTTATTTAAGGGCTTCGGGCCCGGGCCTTTGCTGACTTTTCTTTTTTGTGTGTGTGGCTGTAATGTGAGTGCAACATAAATAATGCATGGCGGCGGAGGATGGGCTCAAGTTGTTAAGTTTGAAGGTGGACTTTATTTGCCAGGCTTGACTTGGGAGCTGCCTTTGTCTCATTTGGGCTAAAGCTGTGTGATAATGCAGCCCATCAGATCAACAAAGCTCCGAAATCACCCAACAGGATGCTCCAGAGGTTACTGAGGCCTCGGTGTTCTGTGACTTTTGTTGCCTTGCTTGTGGCTAGGGATCTGATTTGAACTGAGTCGGTCAATCCAATCATGCTGTCTCAGAGCTAATGATTAAATGGAAAACATCCCGAGCTCTTAAATGGTATTAATTCATAATGAATTATTTGTCTAGCTGTGATCTAATTGTCTTCATGTTTGTGGGGCTCGTGTGTGATCGATGCTGCTGCTGGCAAAGTGCCACCATGAAGGCTTTCTGCAGTGCACAGGCATTAGAAGTGGTCGTGTAGCTTTAATTATAATAGCAAGTAACGAGGCCTGGTCCTTCATGCCTGTGCACCTGCCGGCTGTCTGAGATGCTGCAAGGATGCCGTGAGCATGGAGGCCATGGGTGGGTGATCTTAGCGTGGTTGTGTCCCATTAAAGGTCAGCCTTCGTGTGAAGGAGCCTGGGATCAAAACAGAAGGAAGAAAGGACTTAAGAAGCAGGAACGTAGGAGATACTGATGGAAAACAGTAAACAGATTGGAAGGGCGGTCCTAACTTCCCACAGAAGCAATCCTTGCTTCCATTGCTCTGGTTTTGACCTGGCTGGGTGACCTCATGTCCTTGGGACAAGCTTGCTGTGTGAATTATTCATGCTCACCGAGTGCCTTGCCTCCTTTCTTCCCATCTCTTTAACCCCGTTTAGCAGAAATGCAGTCATCTGAGGGTGTTTCTGTCAAAATGCAGACTTGGCAAATGGAAGAGCTTGTAGAAACGGGGACCCCGTAGGCAGAGGGAAGGCTTTGTACAGATTACACAGAGCTTCACAGTGCTGTGGCTCAGTCTTGGTCTGGGTGTGCTCTGGTGAGGCAGGAGCCCACAAGCGGATGGTTTGCATCGGAGCTGGTTAGAGATACCTGGGGAAATGAAACAGCTTTATTCCCAGGGCACTTCTGTGGTTCTGACATTCAGCAGGGAGATTTCAGGACTGGATGGACCCTCCTTCTTTGCACAGAAGCTCTGTGTGCGTGTTGGCGTTGGTTTTAATTTAGTTGTCTTTGCAGCATTGTGGTATTGAGTCTCATCAGCACTTCACCTTCTAAGTAGATAAACCCAAACAGCAAAGCTGAGTTCCCTGTATTGCTCCCTGTGCTGTATTGCTATAGGGCTTCAGTGAGGTCTGGGATGGCCTGGCAGCTGTGGAGATCTGCTTGTTCAAGTAAAATCAGAATGCAAGGAAACCTACAAAGAATGTATCTAAACTGTATACAGAAATCAGTTTTCACTTGTATTTGAATAGAAAGCATGGGTGGAGGCTCCAAAAAAAAAAATCAAGAAGGAAAAATAAGCTCTGGTACTTCTGAGAATCTCTGTTCTTCCTTGGTTTGCCTTCATCAAAATATTCCCCTGTATCTTAAAACTGAACAGGCAGCCCAAACCACGCATTGTATTCAGCTATAGTTTTTGAAAGGCTCTGGCAAATCTTGTCAGAGAGGTTCTGCCTTGTCTCCCTGCCCTGTGGGCAGCTCCTTTCAAAAAACATTCTCTTTATTTTAAATATTGTTGGGCGACTTCTGCTCTTCCCCTCCCTGTCTACTGAAGCAGGTTGGAACTTCTTGTTTGCTTTTACCTCTGCTGTGCTGGGTTGCTGTTGCATAATAGCAGAGATCCGGCTCGGAGTGAACACTCAGAGTTGTTGTTACGCTCAATGATCCCTCTCCTCTTTTTATTCATTTATTTTATTTAAATCCAGAGCTGAAAGAGACCTTTCTGTGTTGTTGTGGATTAAAATGGAGGAGGATTTAGGCCCTCAGCCCTGCTTATGGCGATCACAATTCCTAGTCAATAAGACAGGAGGCAAGGGATTAGCAGCCAAATGAACAGAGATGGTTTTGCATGGCTAAAGCAGGTTAGAAGCTCCTGAGGATGATATGCAGGGACACGTCTTCACCTTGCCTCTTCAGTGCTCCTCATCTGTGTTCCTTTGGACCTCATCCCACCCCCTTGATGCTGGTAATAACTGGCTCCTTTTATTCTTGCTGTGCATTGGGAATGTGGTTTAGAGACCAACCCAAGGGCACAGAGAGCAAAGCATCCTGTCCTGCCTGCAGGCAGAGCTGGAAAGAGAGCAGGATGCAAGCCTCAGGAGCAGGGAATGGAGATCTCCCCTCAAAAAGCAGCATCTTGGAGACCTTTGCTAGCACTGCTCTGTCTCTCTTACTCGGTTAAGCAGCCCTCATGCTGGACTTAATTCTGAGGCTGACAGAGAAATATCAGTGCTATAAAGATGGTGCTTTGTGGAGTCAAGGTACAAGCTGGTGTGATACCAGGCACCTTCCTGTCTTGGTGTCTGCAGTGGTATTTGAGGCTTTGCCAGCTTCGTGCATGGAAGTCTGTGCAGTCCAGTATGGTCTCACCTCATGCCAGCCCTGCTCCAGCTGGCGCTGCTGATCCTCGTTATAGGCAACAACTAATCACGTGTAAAGCCTGATGTAGGTAGAACTGATCAACACTTGGCATTGTCTGTCCTTGATGCTGCCCACCCAGCTTTGGAAGCAAACACTGAGCCTTACTGATGCCAGCATTAAAAGGATCATAACCCAGAGGCTTGGTGCAAGATGTTTAGCCCCGGAGGTTTATTTTAATTCCTGGCAAGTTTTCTCCTATTTTATGCCTCCTTGACAGTAGGTTTTTCAGGCTTCCAGCATGGGGAGTGATAGGTTCCTACAGACTTTCAAAGTCACAGCAAGCATGATACCATCTCACTGTCAACCTGCATATTCTATTCCTCCTGAAATGCCCTGGCACAGATGGGAAGGGCTGGCGATTGCAGCGTGAGATGGATAGGATGCTTCTTGAATCTGCAAAAATGTCATGAAATCTCCTTTCTGTGATGAAATGTTTACTTTTGCTTTTTTTCTTTCTAGTGACCTCAAATAGCTCCAAGTTAAGAAGAGAATGCAGGGCCTCTGAAACTGAGGCAGATTACCTGAGGCACTAACCTGTCGCTCATGTCTTTTCTTTGTATTAAGTAGTTGCTACTTAAGCAGGAAAAGCAGCTTTCATTTTCTAGGCATTACTCAGAAGGCAGTGCTCTTGAAAAAACATGTGAATCCTCCTTCTAATGTGCTTGGAGTCCTGAGGTTGTCTGCATTTGTTGGATGCACAAATAGGACATATGCTCCCTGACGGTCAAGATTTTAATTCCACTTATTTCCAGTATTTATATATTGAATGAAGCCATAGATTATTCAGCGAGTCCTAGTCCCATTCCCCTAGTTTTAACCAGGAGATGTGATTAAATAACAATGCAGGTTTAGCAAAGAGGGACAAAAACGACCAAGGGAAAGGGAATTAAAAGGGGAAT